TAATGTTTGACAAAATGGTTGAAAGAAATTTGCTTGGCACAATCCATAATGGGTGTTCAGGTGTGGCCGAAAGCTTTGTTTGGATAGAAGAAAAAAAATGAGAAAAAGATAGGAAAGGAAGAAATTAGAATGAAAATTTTTAAAAAATAGTAACTTTTTAAAAATATTTTTAAGTTAATTTTCATGAACCTTTGGATACTTCATTTTGCTGTGAAAATGACATTGATACTTGCATTGCTGGTTCTAGTTATAAACGCTATAATGCCTCATGCTAGAACCTTTTGTGGTGGAAAGGATTAGTTTGTAGAATCATCTTGTAAATGGAAATGATTTGTTTTATTATTAAATATTTTAATTATTAAAAATTAGATTAAAGTATATGCTTTGAAAACAGAAGAAAACTTTATGCAATTTTAACAAAATAGAACAGAAGTTAGTATATTTTATCGATATTTTTTTAGTAAATATAAAATAACACATACAACATATTTATTTATCTTTAAAATCGTTACTCATTCAATTCTATTATCCTTTTAACTTATTGATACATACTATAATAGTATTTTATCATGAAATTGCTTTTCTTTTCTATTTATTTCCTTCCGTCCTATGCATAAAAAGTAAGACTTTGAAGTCATGGCAGAGGATAAAAAATAAGAGAAAAACTTACATACTTAATTTTATATATTTCATATATGCTTGTTTCTAATCAGATTAAGACATGTAGATTTTTTATAAATTATTTATTTTATAATAAATTTTTGTTATTAATATTATTAATATATTAAAATTCATATGTCATAATTTAATTGAATAGACATATTAAGTATATAAAACTAAATATATAAATTTTATCCAAAGAATAAATATTTGTACGTATAGAATGTATGATGGGATTTAAAATGAGTAGGGGTAACAATTTTACCCCTTTTAGGTTAAGAAGGAAAAAAAAAAAGGTAATATGACAACATATTCTACATATTTTCATATTTTGTATTTCTATTAACCATGTGTTTGGTGAATATTTGCAATCAGAAAATGCTCATTGTGATGCATGAGAAAACAAAGAAATTCACTTATTTCTTTTCTTCATTTTTAACATGATATTATAAAAAAATAATTAAATTTTTTTAGTAAATGTTAATAGTCATGATCAAGTATGCTTTAATTTTTTTAAACAAAGCAGAAAAAAGATTATAAACATAAAAATTGTAAAAAAAGTTGTATTTAAAAAGCCATTGGTGGGTTCCACAATTATTGTTAATTCTATTGTTCTTTGAACAATAAATTGTTTTCAGTAAAAGAATAACATTGATCAATTAAAAAGCTTTTTATTTTTTTTATAATTTTTTTACTTTTGTGCATATTGAAAATATAAATACCTTATTTTATTTCTGAACTTATCACCAGTGAAAAAATTAAAATATAATTTGAAAACTATGCAAATGAAATATATGTTAGTATAATAGCTTAAAAATATAATATAAAAATAATTTTTAAGTGTTAATAATTGGGGTCAAACATGCTTTAATTTTTTTTAAAAAAATAAAAAAATAAGTACAAAAAAAATATATTGTAACAAAGAGGTTGAGAAAAAAAAATTAAATTCTATTTAAAAAAGTTTTGATGGATCCTGTAATTACTATTAATTTTACTGTTCCTCAAACAGTAATTTTAAAAATATTTTATGATTTATAAGATAATGCGATAATGTTGGGCCTCGACCCATCAGTATATATATGCTCCAATAGTTAAAGTAGACAATTTAGATGGGCTATAAACAGCCTCAATTCTTTTTTCAAAAGTTTCACAAAAAAGTCCTCTTTTAAAATATGTGAAAAAAATAAGTATAGCTCAACTTGGTTGGACCAATTGGATTGTTGCTGGGTGCTTGGAAGACCAAAAGCTGAATGAATATTCCTATTAAAAATTAGATAATTATTACTTTCTCTAATCTATTAAAAAATATAAGATATTTTTTTAAAGTTAGATGTTAAAATATATAAAGTATTTTTAGTTGTTCAATGTGCAATTAATAAATTTTTTTTTCAAAACTATCCTTAATAAATATTCCACTCAACCAATCAATTTTAAGTAAGACACCTTATTAAATGGGAGCAGATATGAAAAAATAATATTATTTTGAAGACAGTTAATTAATTTAATGGGAGGTGTTATTCAATTAAAAATGATATTAGGGCATTGTAGCAAATTGAAAAACATTGGGGTCATATCATGCAAAAAAAAAAAAAAGAGTTAGGATATCAAGTGCGCTTATATGGAAAAAGCTATAAGAACCTGTAGATTAATTTTTCCTAAAAAAAAAGTTATTCACTCCTATTTTATTAATAAGACCTTATCTGTTCGTCCTTAAAGCAAGATCTTCTACAAAATTTCATTAAAATTTGTAATTTATTTTAAAAAATTCTCATCGTCTCTTTCACTCTTAGTTAATGGAGTTTTTAATCAATTAAATTTTTATTATCTGTCTCTTTCACTTGTGATGTTGGGATTAGTTGTTCAAAAGCTTGAAACCTACTTGTTATGAAAAGGGAGTGAAAGAACAAAATGCATGTGCGCATCAAATTATAGTGATGAAGAGTAAAGCAATCGCAGCAAATGAAGAAGCTTTTCTTTTCTTTTGTCTTTTGAGGGAGAAGCACATAGATGGCTTTATACTTGTTATTAAAGGGCAATTATAAAACATGTGTAACACAACATTCTAATTTATAAACTAAATTGAATAACTAACCAACCTTAATTCATGAACAAGGTTGTTTATAACCTTCTCTTTTTATTTCTCTCCTTTCCTCTTCTTTGACAAAGATAAAAATGAAGTACTGAAGAGACATTCTTCCGATATACATGTGATCTTTTGTGCCAATCTTCATGTTGGAGTAAATTTTGTCTGTTGTTGCTTCGGTGTTGCCATAGACATAGACACCTCATGTTTGGTCTCCCTTCCTTTCTTTTCTCTTAAAAAAAAATTATTTAAGAACACTCTGAAAATATTAATTACAGTTAAAAATTCTAAAAATTTAAAATTTCAGAAGAGGAATATGATTTTTGCTTAAAATTAAAATCTTATATAAATTTTTTAGTGCTCATCTTTTATATTTTTAGTACATGTTTTCCAAATTTTTAGTACTCATCTTCCACAGTTGAAGCACTCATCTAAAGCATTTTCAGCTAGTTTTTCAAATTTTTTCAGTAATAATTTTTAATGTTTTCAATACGTATCTTTGTTTCTTTTCAATGATATAAATATGAAATACAAGTATTTATTGAAAACATAATTGAAAGATTGAATACTAAAAACGCTAAAAATAATTACTGAATGTTTGCAAGATTAGCAGTATTGGAAAAATTAATTCAGAAAAATTTTAATTTTAGCCAAGGACCATAGCCCTTTTGCGAAATTTCAAAATTTCAAGGTCCTTTTTTTTTTAGTGCTCAAAGATATATCTTCCTATTGGAGGCAATCTTATTCGAGGTATGATCTAATACTAAATGTGACTATATTTCTTAGCAAGAATTTGAATCTTAGTTCACCACATTATGAGAGATTAGTCCCTTCTGCTAGACCCATTTCCTATTGGTAAATTTAAGTTCTTAAGCTCCTTAAATTTCATTTTTCTTTTCTCTTTTGTCATTCTCTTTTTCTTCTTCTTATACCTTTTCATTTTTCGACAAATAAGCAAAGTATATGCGCCAGATTCCTGAATACAAGCTGTCAAATATTGTGACTCAATATTTGGTTATATTCATTCCTGGTCTGCGAGGTGTAGATCAAATTTAAATTACCATATATTTGCATCATACTATTAATTAACCTTCACTTTGGCACATTGCATATTCGACTTGTTTCTGTACATTTAATCTAAACCAGTAAAAGAAGAAACGAAATTTTTTTTAACACTTCTGTTAGTCTTATTTATAAATAATTTCTAGCATATTTTACTAAAATTAAAGAAAACTTTAAATCTAATTAACTTTATTTTAAAACTTATTAAGTTTTCACCTCTTCCTTCTAATAAGGAGAAAAATAATTATTTTTAATAATTTTTTTAGCATTAAATAAAGGCAGAAAGGTAAAGATACACAAAGAAAAGAATGTAGTGCCTTATAAATAGAATCAAAATTAATATTCTCTCTTTGTCCTATAAATAGGACCAAAGGAGTATATGATTAGATCTTTGATCTGATTTACTTAGGATACAAATAGAGGCTGCATATAATCAAATATCACAACTAAATTGAGTAATTATTGCTCCTTAATTGCTTATACAAGACATTACATAATTAATTTAAGGAATGTAAGTGATTCAATAGACATAATGAATTGAAGTATTCAACTTGGTGGATATAAAATCTAGGACATTATAAACAAGGGATTAGAAGCTTGGTTAAGGTCATAATGAATTAAATGTAAGAGGAGTTGAAAATGTAAGTGGAGTTGAATCAAAGTGAAAGTTTCATATTAGATAAAACTTAATAAGTAATATAAAATAAAGCAGAATGATTTAAAGTTGAACTTTGAGGCTTTGATAAGTTAAGATGTGGTGTCTTTCCATAGAGTATCAAGTTTAGTCCAATGAGCTAGCTTCTTGAATATTATAGTTATTTAAGGCCTAATTATTAATTTACGTGATTCTCTATGAAACATACTCTCACATTCGCTGTGAAGAAAAGGAAAAATAAAACAAAAAAGAAAAAGAAAAGCTCAACAGAAGAAAAAGAGAATAAAATAAACTATATATGAACTTGTGCATCACACACAGTTTTTTCTTTTTCACCCAGAGAAAAAAGAAAAGAAAAGAAAAAGAAAAAGAAAAAGAAAAAGAAAAGCACAATAGAAGAAAAAGAGAACAAAATAAGCTATCAACATGAAGATAAGTGTGGCTTCATGCTCAAATTAAGCAATTGAAGTCGGCTTGATAACTATATATATAAATGTGTGTGTACTATTGCATAGAATTGGTAAATTAAAGAACTTGGTTGACAAGTGTAATGATAGGAGCTATTTTCTCTTTAGTTTCCTGAAGGTCAATCAAAGTATCAGGTTAGTTATCTCATTGTTTTATTACTCATTGCTTTTTCTTGTATTTGCTAATTTTTAATTTTTCTGTTTTTTTATTCCATTATATAATTTAGTCGATTTTCAATATTAGGTTCAAAGATCACCGTTTTTTTTTTTGGTTAAGTTCCTTACGACATATGAAAGTCAACATAGCATTTTTTTTTTCAAAGTGTTATACATCAGAAGTTGAATCTTTACAGTGATCGAACAAATTATGTAATATTAAAAACTAAAAAAATTGTCAAGAAATGCAAGGCTAATCAAACTTTTGAGAGCTAATGAAATTGTATAATTAATGAAAATCTTTGATAAATAAAAGAATTAATGATAATCAGAATAGCTAAAACCTAGAACCAACTCATCAATAAAGGAAAGCGGAATTTTATTACATATATAGATGATAATTTTGAAATTTAATTTTATATTATTCTTTTATTCGATCCTATAACACACTGACCTTATGTTTGGGTACAGAGAAAAACTAAAAGAGAAATCAGAAGGAAAAATAGAGGAGGAGATGTAATGGTCTCATACAGATATATATATATATATATTCCTCAAACTTTTATTTTGTTGAAGGGCACAAAAAGCAGCAGAGAGGCTGTACCTTTTTATATGGGAATTATTATCATTGTGAAATTAGTCACTTTCTTTTATTAATTATGTGTATGTCTTCTCATCAAGTTCATTCGAATAGAAGGGAGAGAAAATATTTTAAAAAACAATAACTATTAGTTTCTTTTATTTATTAGGAGCACAAAAAAGGACATTTTCAATCAATAAAATCTCTCCGTTTTTTTTTTAATATGTTCTTTTATGCCAAGCTCTTGCAGATTAAAAGAATGGAGATAGAAGAAAGCGATTCAGTGGACATAAAAACTGAACAACAACCCTCGTTAAACCCCACTGGGCCTCCCTTAGCATCAAGTTGTTGCATATACAGAGTGCCATTGATATTTCGCAAAATGAATGAAGAAGCCTACACTCCTTTCTTGGTTTCCATCGGTCCCTTTCACCATCGAAGCCAAACACTGGGGCCAATGCAACAAGATCTCAAATTATCTTACCTCATCAAATTTGTGAAGAGGGCTCATCAGCAGAATTCATTACATGATTATGGTGACGTCGTGAGGTGTGAGGAAGATAAGATTCGACGCTGTTATTCCGAGCCAATACCAATGGAGAGTGATGATTTTGTAAACATGATTTTAACTGATGCTTGCTTCATCATTGAGTTGTTTGTTGCAGGCTTTCTAGCAGATAGTAGTGAATCAAATGAAGATGCTTATTTGTTGAAACGATGGCCAAGAGCTGATATAATGCGAGACTTGATTTTACTTGAAAATCAAATACCATTCTTTGTTCTTGAGGACCTATTCAACTTAGCTTTTCCCTCTGGATTAAATGATGGTCGCATTTCATTTCAAGAGCTTACCTACAAAAATTTCCTTTCATACCGGTCATGTGTATATCCTCCAACTAACGAATATGGGAAGCGATTTCTTTTATATAGCTATTTTGAAGAACATCACTTGACACCACCTAATGCTGATGGTGGGAAGCAAGTGAAACACCTGTGTGATATGTTAAGGGCCTTTTACGTGCCAACTAATCCTCCAGCAAGATCATCAATAGACCCGAATATGACAACGAAGTGTTCATGTACTGCAAATGAACTAAATGAGGCAGGACTCAAATTTGAAGTTCATCAAGACAAAGGCATATTTGAGCTGGAATGTTCAGAGGGAGTCTTCAAAATGCCAGTTATTGTGATTAATGCGATGACTGAGATTATGCTCAGAAATGTGGTTGCGTTTGAGCAGTGTCATCACTATTTTACAAATTATCATGTTACTGACTACATGTTCCTTTTGTTTAATCTTATCAAAACTGGAAAGGATGTCGAAATTCTTGTTGAAAAGGAAATCATGGAGAACATTTTGGGGGATAATGATGATGTGGCTACCATGATCATCAAACTTGCCCGAAATACATGGCTAGCAGGAGGCAGCAACGCCAATTACAGCAGTCTATATGAAAATCTGGACCATTTTTATGAGAACCCTTGTCACAAGCACAAGGAAAACTTTGTGCGCGATTACTGGAGCACTCCTTGGAAAAGGTTATCTTTGTTTGGTGGAATTGTGATACTTTTCTTCACTTTGATTCAAACAATATGTTCTGTCATCTCCTTGTTCAAAGGAGGAGCTCAAAATTAAAGCTCTTGTATAAGTAAATTTGTAGACTGCTTTCTATATAATTATACAAGCACTATTTGTTGGATGCCACCTTTCTTTTTTCTTCTTTATTTTTCTTCTTCAGGAAAATGACATTTATGAATCTTACAAAGGCACTAATAACAATTGAAGATTTCCAGATATTAAAATGTTAGAAAAAGATTATGATCTTTACTTGCAATTAAAATATTTCTAATTATTGAAATAATCAATAAAAGGTCATTCTAGAATTTAAGAAAAATTTGTTGTAAATTTAAGAAAAATTGCTTGTGAATATAAAGAAAGTCAATTATAAATAGATAGATAGTTTCATAAATATATATATATATATATATACATATTGTCATTTGTGAATTTAAGGAAAAGATCACTATTACTAGAAACATTGATAAGTAATTAAAAATATTATATTTGTTTTAATAACATATTATTAAAATGTTATATATTTTAATTTTTTATACCTTATTCCAAACAATTTTTATACAAAAAGAGTTTACATAAAAAATTTAACAAAATTGTAAACATCATATTAAATCAAAAATTCTTTTTTCTTTTTTCCAAAAGTATTAAATTAAAATTTTCTATAAACTTCAGAAGTATTTTTGTTTTCAAAAATATAAATATTCATTATAAAAAAATTTTATTCCCTTCTATCCTATTTATAAGCCTATAATGACCCTAAATTTTAAATTAATAAAAAAATTTCTCTAAATTTATATTTTATTTAAATTAATTTTATAAAAAAATATATAGAGTAATGAATTGGTGAAACTTATGTTAATAGTTTACCTGAAAGTTTAGAGTTTGAATTTTTTTGAGTAATAGATTAAGTTTATTTAGTTTAAAATTGTCAAAAAATTATCAAAGTATCTGTGTCTTTTATGTTATTGGAGGAAAATAATGTGCCATCTCTTGTAATTTTCATAATTTTCTAATGTTCAGATTTTTATTCTTCTCCCTCAGCCAGACGCACGCACCGCCTCCTTTTTTCCCCCCTACTCCTCCTCCGGCATTTTTGAAAGTTCCAGAGCCCAGAGAGATTGCCCCCTCCGCCTCCGTTCTTCCGGCCCTATCCTTGCTGCCGTCGTTGGTGTGGGTGTGTGTTAGAACACCTTCTACCATTGTTAGAGGTCTAGCTCTCAAATTCTTCCTATCCCCTGTTTCGCATTGCCAATCGCTCGCTCTTCTGAGTGGTTGTTCGGCTCGTCTATCCATCGCCGGCGTCCATGAGTGTGTCGAAGACTCCTTCCTCTGCCTGTATTTGAGTAGCTGTGGGATTGTGTCAACTTGCTCTTCTCTCCCCTGATCCGCATCGTCATTTTTGGAAGTGGTTGTGGCAGCTTCAGCCTTGTCCTTCACTTCTCCATTGGCTTCCCTAGTGAGTTGAACTCCATCTCCCACATCTTCTTGTAGCAGATTTTTGTGTGTTTGTGAATGGGTTGTTGTTGAAATTGATTTTCCCTCTTTGTTCCAGTGTATGCGTGAACATTGTGTGGCAAAAATTGTGAGTTTCATTCCTTGTTCAATTGTTGTGCGTGAATGTATAGATGTGGGGATCCAAACCAGCTGAGATTTATGTTTATAGAGCAATTCTTTGATAGGTAATTTCACTTGCTTACTCTAGTTAATGTAAGAGGAAGAAAATGGATTTAAGTTTTATTTTCTTTGAACTCAAATTGATTTGTGATGGGGAATTGAATTGAAAGCATGGCTGATTTGGTTTATAATTAATTTGAGTTAAAGGAATGGAATTGAATAAAAGAAAGCTTGATATTAGGTTGAGAATTAATGTGTCCCGATTATTTGATAAAATGTCTGAATGTGATTTTTGACATATGATGATAAGATATGTGTGGTGAACATATTATTGTTAATTAAACAATTATTAAAAGACAATTATTCTTTTTAATGGATTTTAGGAAGTTTGAATTATTCAAATTATTGTTGCAAGAGAACTTTTAGGAAGGGAATTAAAGCCAAAGAGGCTTGGTAGTTTGTAACATTTTATTAAGCATTAAAGAAGACATAAACAAGATGAGAAGGGTTTTTTTTTTTTTTTACTCTTATTGGCTTATTGTTAAGTTAACAATTTGATAAGAAAATTTGTGATTGTGTATGTATAGTTGTGATGTTATTTGAAAATTAATTTAAATGTCAGTAATTGTTTGAGGAAATTAATTGATAAGTGAAATTGAAGGAGGTAGAGAATTGATTATGATAAAAAGAACCTTGTTAATTGTTGATGGTTAGCATATTAAACATTTATTTATTTATACTAAGAAAAAAATAAATAAGTGATTTTAGAATTTTGATTGACTTATTAGAAAAATTAATGGCATCCTTAGAATTAAGTGAGAAGTTAAAATAAAGCAAGTTTTAGAATGATTGAAAAACTCTCAAGTGAGTGGGTATGTCCCAAATAATTTCTTGCAAAATATTTAAAATTTTTTTATTTAAATTTTTATATTAGTCCTTTATGAATTGTAAAAATATTCTTGTTAAATCTATTTTTATGATTTATACAATTCTTCTCACTTACCTTACTTTTATATTAATATGTTCATTACAGAATCTGCTTTATTGTCATTAAGAATTATACTATTTTTAAGGAATATTTGGATTCGATACACGATTAACCAATTATTTACTCTAAGCATATATTTCTGTGGTTTAAATTTAATAATAGAAGAATGACAGAGAGGTCTTAAAAGGTAAATTAATTTAAGTTAGGTTTCAAGTGTCAAATTTCAGGAATTTGCAATTCAATTTTTCAATTTTACAATGTCGTTGTGATGAATTTGCAACTTGTGTTTTAAATTTTAACATGAAAAATAATTTTTTTTATTCTTCAACCATATTAAAATTTAAAAAATAAGTTGTAAATTTATCACAATGCAATTACAAAATTGAGAGATTGAGTTATAAATTTTTAGAATTTGGTGTTTGGGACCTAACTTGAATAAATTTACCCTTTTAGAACCTCTTTTGTCATTCTCCTTTTTACAATTTATGTGATAGTGGTTAATACAGTGATTCATGAATGGAGAAAAATTAAAAAAAAAATTTGATAGCTGAATATTATATTTTTAAAAGAAATGATTTTAAATGAATGTTTTAACTTCATGCATGCTTGATTTAATTAGGAGGATTGAATTCGGAACGCTAAATGCTAACTATAGTTCCATTAACTTTTGGGGCGCCATGGTATACCTAGCTAGTAGAATATTTGTAGGAGGTGCTAGCCTCGTGTACAGGCCAATGCATGTTGAATAGAGAGATAGATATTTATGAGCATCATACTTACGCTTGTTTTGTGAGCTTCGTGCTTGTGTTTGTTTTGTGGTTTCTAGGCACACTTGATTATTTTGTGAGTTTAAGATATGCTTGTTGGTAACTTACCCTCGCGGAATGTGTGTCTATGCTTGTTAGTTATTTACCCTCGTGGACTATATATCTACACTTGTTAATTGTTCTGATTAAGTCTCTTTAAAAAAAATTGAAATTTTAATAATTTTTAATTGTATTTATGTTTTCATGATTTATATTAATTTCAAGTGATTATTTTAGTAAATTTATAATTGAATCAATGATTTGCTTTCTATTATTTTCTTCAACTGTAAATTGGGACGCTATTCACCAGAAAAATTTTCTTTGGTCTCAAATATTAAAATTGACCTTGTAACTCTTGCTGATCACTGAGGGATGCAATTGGTTTTGGAGCTGTGGAAGCATACGTTAGTTACTTGTGATGTAAATATATTTTGTATTATGAAATGTTAACTTAGCACTCCACGTATACTGTAGTTAGATTCTAGTTTTATTTTGTTAATATGTAAGCTCTTGGTGTGAAGCTAAGCTCCCTTATGATTTGGTTGATAGCTTTTATCATTGTAGAAATTTTGAAAGACTCTAATTATGGGGGAGATATTATCAAAATTTCTACAAAATTTTTAAACCTTTAAGAATTTTAAATTTAGACATAAATTATATATCGTTGTCTTGAATTAGTGTTTTGGTTAATCAAGGCCTATACAATGTGAATCTATTTCACATTCTATGCCAGTCACACCTTCAGTACCGTGATGTGACAAAGACCTTATCTATTAGTCCTTAATACAAGATCTTTTTACAAAATTTCATTAAATATTTGTAAGTTAATTTTAAAAGCTCTCTTTATCTCGTGTAATCTTAATTAATGGAATTTTTATTATCCGCCCTGCCTTTCTAATAAACTATACCAATTATTGGATAATTTTAGAAAGTTGTAAAGACATTGAACTAATTTAACTAATTTTCTTAATACAAACAAGTAGTTATCATGACTTATAAAAATGATCAAAGGGAACTACAGGAACAAAATCATTAACTCGCAAGGATAAAAAAAAAAAATTCTTGGTTACTGTAGGATGCAGTCTACAAAATTTATTTAAGACTTTTGATTTGGATGAAGAGAAAAGTGAGAAGAAAATATGGAGAGAAAAAAAAAATTAGGGAGAAGTTTTTTTGAAAATAGTAATTTTTTTAATTTTTAGCAGCTTTTTTTTTTCTAATTTTCCTTTCTCCTTATTTTTCCCCCCGTTCAAACGAAGGGTATGAGTTATCAAAGAGCTTTTCCCCACTTTTTTTTACAATTATCTTATATTGATGGATCAGATTCGTGCATATAGTAGGCACAATTCGGAGCATGTCTCCCAACGTAATGTTTTTCTCTCACGTTTCAATCCTTATATCTTATTTCAAGAGAACCTTGACACTTGTAATGTTGGGATTGGTTGTTCAAACGCTTCAATCCTACTTGCTATTAAGGCGGGGGGGCAACAATTTATAAAGGTGGGGATGAAAGAACAAAATGCGTGGATCAAAATCAATTTATAGTGATGAAGAGTAAAGGAATCGCAGCAAATTAACGATAAAGCTTTCCTTTTGCTTTATTTTTTGAGGGAGTGCTCCAATAACATTTACGCACGTAGATGCATGGCTTTATACTTGTTATACAAAGGCTATTATAAAACATGTAACTAAATTGATTAACTGGCCAACCTTAAT